GCCACAAGCCTTATAAGGGCAAAAAGAGAAAAATATTTCGCAAATAAAACTGAAAATGAAATGAAAATTGAAAACAAAAATTTTTAGTGCATATTTTTAGGCGCTTGAATGCATGCATTTGTAAATTTACGTATCCCGGTCGAGTTGGAGAAGGTGTAATAAATTTTAGAGGTCAAATGCAAATCAAATAAAATTCTCATATATGTCTTCAACTATGTAGACAAGAAAACCATGCACGCACGCACACACACACACACACACAAGTGTGTATGTTACACTTCGAAATCTACATAAAAGTTAAGACAAAACAAATTGAATGCATGCCGGAGTCAAAACTTTTGTCATTATCGTTTATTACAATGCAAAAAAGGAAGTATTTATGCTTGCCTACGTAGTTGTGTTAGTGTAAGTGTGAGTGCGTGTATGTGTGCGTGTGCGTGTGCTGATCTGAACTAAGAGACGATAACTTTGTTGGGATACAAGTGGGAAAGTTTCTGAAGACGTCAAGAAGGAAGACAAGGAACTGTTTTGAAATGGCGGCAAAAGAAGAGAACGCAGAAGCCGCAGCACATATAAAATATATGGGAACACTGCTTGATAGATAAGTGAGAAACATGAGAAACTTTTCTTGTTTATATGAGAGTGCGGTTTGGTCTTTGTGTGTGCGGTGCAGTGCTGCCACATTTGCTGAATAACGACATTGCAATGACAATAACAACAGTCAGGCAAGTGCACACAATAAACAATCGCTGCAAAGGAAGTGCCAAATTGGTTTATAACAGAAATGGAAAAGTTTAAGAAAATTAAATATTTTAAGTGCTTAAGTAAGCACATTTTTAAGTCTCTGGCAAAGCAAAATTTTATTTTATACTCAAAAATTTGAATAGCTTAACATTCATGCAATATAACAAATAACAATAAACTACTTTTTTCTATTTTTGAAAAATTCTAGATATACCTTGTTTCGCTTTTTTTCACATTCAAAAGAAAATTGCGAGATAAATGCATTAAAACTGACTGAACTTTGACAGGACATATATTAAGCTTCGCTGATATAATCCAAAGCATTGACAACAAATCATCTACAACAATATGATTGAGTAGATGACTTGAAAAATAAGTCCTATTAAAAATATTAGATTAATTCAAAAAGCTATTCATGCTATGACTTATCACTTATCAGTAGCTAATACTATATCTTCTTTCGAAATTAAAGCCCTATATTCTGCAACTATGAAACACTGGTATTACGAGTCTCATCACTGACGACATTCGCTTCAAAACAAAGTTCAAGTTGTGCCGAAAAACATTGATGTTAGCCAAAAACTGATTGAGGCAAACTTAGCCATTATCTTATTTTTATTTTAAAAATGCGTTAAAAAAAGAAACTTTTTGTTGGAACTAACTTAAGAACTAACAAAAAAAAGAGATAAATAATATATACACAATACATAACAGTTTAAAAATTATTAAATATTAAATCAAAAAAAGTTATACTCTTTAAGAAAAAAAAATTAAATTAAAAATTAAAAATTTGGGATTAAAAATTTAGAATAGATAGTTTAATACTACAACCAGAAAAGTTATTAAAAAAAATAACAAGAAATAGAATTAAGTGTCAGAACAGGTGATGTCAAGATAATACATTAAACAGTAATTTTTTGAAACCTCCTACTCTACTTGTGTTTCCGGTTGCACATGGAAGCTTTTTGTGGAAGCAAAGTTAAATCCGTAATTTAGCATTAACCAATTTATATAGAAACAAACAGACACGAATTTTCATAAGTTTTTCAATGTCGCAAAGTAAGATTGCATTCCTGAAACTACTCAGGTAATCTTCTGAGACCGCAAACATATCACATCATGGAATAGCTTAAGCTTCTTAACTTAGCAAGAGACGGTGCGTCTAATTTAGAATAAACAAAAGAGGAAAACATAATAATAGGAATTATTAACTGTTTTATCAATATGCAGCGTGCAACAACAGGGGTATATTTCGCTGATAGATTAAGACATCTAAGATATGAGAACACTTTTGTAACGACTTGATTTACAGGATCACAAGCATGTAAGTTAGCATATAAGCTAGTACAAAATTTGAGGCAAGCCATTAACATTTATTTATACTCTACTAATTGGCAAAATAGTTGTTTTGTTAGCAATAAGTAGTTAATTAGAACGGCTCAACCGTTAATATTCGCTAAATCAGCGTTTCTCTTCTGCATTAGACTTTCAATAGCGTTAAAATCACAAGAAATATATATATTTGGATGTCATCAACATACCCATACCCATGCATATCTACAAATTGAAAAGACATCATTTATGAAAATGGAAATCAAAAGGGAACCCAGAATTGAGGTTTAAAAGTCGAGAACTCATTCAATACCACAACAGACTGCAACCTTCCAGTTAAATTACTAAAGATACCTTTTGCCACCGACTTAGAAAATAAAAAGGTAAACGACAAAAGCCTTAGAAGAATCAAGTAGACTTAGATACGTAATCAAGTTTTGATCATAGTTGAGTAGAACATCCTCAAGTACTTTTAACATAGCAGTTGCGCAGCTATGACCCTTTCTAAACCCAGATTTCAGTGGGCAAAGAAGCTGAAAGCGATCCAGGTGGCAACGAATTGCATTAGCCATGATATGCTCACATATCTTCGAGAGCGAGGAAGGAATGCTAATTGTGCAATAGTCAGCTGTGGCTTTGGTAGCTCTGTGATATGCTTTGCCACACACACCCGAGCATACTAGTTCAGTTTCTCCGTGGATACCTCCACGACACTTGTAACATTCTTTCATATTGACAATAACGTAGTATTTGATTATTTCGTATTACACAATTACACGATATATATTCAAATAAGTTGTTTTATTAAATTATTTTACTGTTAAAAGGCTTGAAAATGTGCAGTCAAAACATCATTATTAGGCTGTTCATAATCAAAAGAAATAATTACTACATCCATGTCGATTACTGAGCTATTTGCTTCTGTAAAATACTAAAGTAAAAGTTTGGAGTAGATCCTTCACGGCTTCTTTAAAAGTACGTAAGGACAGATTTAAGCTAAAAAAGGCAGTTTTAAAAGTAATACCTAAGCACATATTGATCAATGAAGTTTATTATAATACCTGGGAAAGTGTGGTAAGACCGGTTCCTATCTTCCTTAATACCATTGGAATCATTATAAAACTTTTGTTTCCCTTATATATAGTAAGGGCTTAGGATACTGACATCGATGTCGAGCGTATGGCTGCATCTGTCAACAGTTGTCTATAGAACGAATTTATTTAACATGCCGAAAAAAACAAACACTGGTATTGATTTCCAAAGGTAGCAAATTTCTGGAGATCCCCTAGTCCTGCAAACCATTGTATCACTTGATTAATGCAGGTGTGGTCCTTGAGAGAATTATCTGCTGTAAATTAGAAAAATATTCAGAATCAATGTATGGTTTGTTAAACAATACTAAATACTTTAAAAATGCTTTCAATTTAGCTGAATGTAGCAGTCCTTTAAATACATTGAGGATAGTGAAAGCTTCAGAATATGTGTTGCAAATAATTTCAAAGCGATTAGGGAAATTTTGTAATATTGGTTTACCTGGCGCAGCGGGGCGCCTTCAATGTTCGCAACGTGGCGAATATATCTAGATTGCAACTGGGCAACTTAAAGCTAATGAAGTAATAGACTAAATGTTTAAGTTGAATTTAAATTTATTAATTAACATTACACAGTATTTATACTAATTTTACACCAAACACTAATCTAACTGAATATTATGTTTAGCTAGTATTTTTCATACTAAAATGCTTATATGCATTTTAATTAAATAATTGCACTTAATGCACTTTAAGAATTTCATTTCAAATTGCTTTTCTTTTGCGCTTCTTCACATGCCAATTAGGTGACGAATACAGAAGGCAGGTCCTTGCTCTTAGCATGTGCCGGTATCGTATATCATCGTATTACTGTCAGCAAATAATTATTTTGTTTGTTGATAATATAATTAATATGCAGATATACTACATAACTATATCCTACTTTCAAGACTTCTATGACACAGAAACCGATGCTGTAACGTCCAAAGCCACAGATGCGGTTTTCAAGAGCTCAGATCTTAGACAAATTCTCTGGAATATCATGTAGAATAGTATTCTTTCAATTGAAAAGCCAAACAAAGGTGACTTAATCGAGTATGTAGATGCTGTTAAGGAAGTGATGATTGCAAGAACATTTATTTTTATGTTGATCACACTTTTTCAAAATGTTAATTTTCTAGAGTTATATGGATTTTTTTCGTTCGTACCTTTAAAAATTAGATTGGTTACTATACTTGGGTGCGCTATAAAAATTTTTATTAAAACTCCATAGTATCCGACACAGTATTCGAAAGTGATATGTGGCTAAAGCTAAATACGCATCGGTTGAATTTACGTTGTCTTGTTTACTTTTAAAGTTTTTCCTTTTAGATATATTACTTAATAACGTTATAGAATCTTAATATTACATGCAATAAAAGAAAGTATAAAAACTGTTCTACAATAAATAACATCAAAGTTTTAGATGAACCGTAAATATATAATATAGATAGAGTCAGATGAATATCTTTGTAGATATAGATTCATATATTTACAATATATACACAATATACTTATATTCACAGAAGTAGATCCATCCTATGCAGTGTTTGTTTTGTCAAAATATTAGTTTTTACAGATATTCTTTTTCAATTTGAACACACTCAATATATGGACTTCAACTACTACCAGAAAACTTAAATAAAAACATCAAATGAATTTACGGCGATGCAATTGCCATTATAGGAACTCATTAACAAAAATCTGCTCCAATATGACACATGTTATAATTGGAAAATCCTCTGCGTTAGCTGCCAATGAAACACTCAGCTAAAATATTTTTAAGTTTACATACACATTCAAATTTAAAAAATCGCTAAATTTGCAAATCACTAAAACTTATCTACATTGCAGATGTTCCAGATATTGTTTGCCAAGAATATGCAGTACCACATGTACAGGATCTCTTGCCTGCTCAGAAGTCCAATTCCATATACGGCATTGCCAGCAGTACCAGCAGCAGTAATAATTACAATACCACAGCACGTAACAAAATCAATAATTTGTTTCAAACTAAGTTACCACCACCGGTGCCACCGCCACCACCCACCGAAAAATATTATGCCACATCCTCCATATGCAAGCCGATCTCATCAGGCGCGCAACAAGGTAGTAATATTTCAGCTGCAACACTACCATCAGCTACGGTTAACGGCGGCAGCGCCGGTAGTAGTGCAACTGCCAGTCTGGCATCAACAGCAACCACACCCACCGGTACTATAGGCATGTCGAAACCACAACTGAATTACAATTTCGAAATGGACGAATTTGCCGATATGAATGAGGAGCAGACCAATTATCAAGTACAGGAATTTCCGCGACAGTCGCTTGTTATTGTCGAAAAACTGGGCAGTGGCATTTTCGGTGAACTACATTTATGCGAGACAAAAAGTTTGAGGTAAGATTCTAATTCTAATTATTGAGTAGAAGGCTTACTAAAATATAATTTCAATTTGACATGGATTTTTTTCGGACATAAAGTTCAGACCTTTAATCAAATTGCCATTGAATCAGTAAATGTTTAGTACTAAGAAACTTAAAATTGAATAATCAATTTCGTTTGATAACCTTTTGCTATATTTCACAATGTTTCATAATTTTTGATTCATGGCAGAACCTATTTTACTCGATGAAGACCTGAATACAGTACTAAAGTGTCGCTTGATCACAATTGAATGTTCTTCCATGCAATGTATTTTGAAATGGAGTTCTGTTGACCTGAGATTAAGCTACTCAAGTCGCTGTGACAAAACCTCTTGTTAAAGGTAATGAAGGTAATAATTTACTTATCGTATTAGGTCAAAACACACCACATTTTGACCTCATTTTGCACGACGTTGGCTGCTAATATATTCGGTGGACTTCCAGGTTTACAGCCATGCATAGAAACTCTGCACACAAGTAATATATATCGACAATTTTATGATCGTTTGATATTGAAAATAAAGGTTTTATTTTCGTAGTTTTTAAATTATATTATATAAACATACATGAATATATCAATGCTTAACACTTCATATGTCACCGTAAAATAAAATTTTTCTACAAACTTATCTTGGAGTAAAAATATTAAACAAGTTATACTTTGAGTTTTTGGATCCAAAAACCCAAAGCCAACTTATCCAATTGTGTAAACACTAATAAAACAATTTGTATATATGAGCGTTATGATAACATCACGCTGTAGATACATTTCATCAGTAAAATATTGTTATTACTAACTAAGAAAAACAAATTTTTTTTGCCAAAAATCGATTTTACTCATCAATATAATCTCCTTCAAGGGCAATGCAATCAGTCCAACGCTTCTCTAACTTCTCGATGCCGTGCTTGCAGAAGGATTTGTCATTTACCTTAAAAATACCGGTGAGCATTTTTTTGAGATCATTGAATAGCCAGTAGTCGCTGGGGGCCAGATCTGGGCTATACGATGGATAAGAAAGCAATTCGAAGTGTAATTCGTGCAATTTTGCCATCGTTTTTATTGACTTGCGACATGGTGCATTGTCTTGGTGAAACAAAACTTTTTTCTTCGCCATATGCGGTCGTTTTTTTACAATTTTTACTTTCAAACGATCCAGTAATGCCATGTAGTCATTATTATTGATGGTTTTTCCCTTTTCGAGACAGTCAATGAAAATTACACCATGTGCATCCCAAAATACTGAAGTCATAACCTTCCCTGCTGACTGTGACTGTTGGACGCTTCGGACGTGGTTTAACGACTGCAGTCTACTCAGATGATGATTGTTTTGATTCCGGAGTGAAGTATTGAATCCATGTTTCATCCATTATCACATTGCAACGCAAAAAATCTGATTTATTATGTGTAAACTTAGCCAAACACTGCTCTGAATCATCAACACGTTGTTGGTTTCAATCGAAACGCGACACCCACTTTAAACATGGTCAAATGTTTATGCATAATTGTAAACACACTGCTTTCTGATATCTTTACGGTTTCAGCTATCTCAGCTTCACTTAAATGGCTGTCACTTTCTTCTGACTAATCGAAATGTCATGAAATTTTACACATAGTCTTTTGAAGGTTGGTACTTCATAAACGTCATATGAATTTGACAATGGCGGCGCCATCTGTGTGTCAGTCACACGACTTATTGAGTGATGTGTTAATTTATGGTATGTGTAGACACATGTATACAGGGTGTTTACTGCCATCGTGGTTGGACTTCAGGTGACGTTTCTAAGGTCTTTGAAATGAAAACAGTCGCATAGGTTTGTCCACACTCAATTTTTTTTGAGATAGAGGGTATTAAAGTATCTTGTATTCGAAAAAAAAATCTTTATATTCTTTTTATCTTAACGATCACAAAGAAACATTTTAAAAATGGTTTATTTGAATAGCTGAATTTATATATATATGCATAATTAGTTCAATTAATATATATTAAAAGTTATAAGGTAGACTATTTGTGTTTAAATGATTTTCGAACTTTTAGGTTACATACATTTTTTGATCATTTTTTCAATACTCAATTTTCTGGTATTTTTAAATAAATAATTTTCTTTCTAAATAATTAGTTTCGTGATTATCCTTTAAACATCTTCACAGTCCAATTTGACTCGGAACTAGATTATCATGTGTTAGTATTGCCATGTGATAGTATCTTTGCATTTCTCAGACACAAAAGTATATTATTTTTTTTTAGTCATTATGCTTCTTTATTTTCTCTTCCATTATTCATTATGGAAAGTATTTGTATTTCTTAAGCCAACGATGCAAATATTTCTACTTCAATTACAAAACCACAAAATTCCAAAATCTTTACAAGCTTCCGCATTGCAATTATCATTGCTTAAAACAAAAATTACTTCAGTTTTCCATTCAATAACCGCAATTTAAACAAAATATGCAATCGAAGGGTAAAGTAAGGATGTTGACAACATTTTATAAAAAACTCAAACCGCAATTAATGCAAAAATCGAAAATATCTGCAAGTAATAAAAAATATGGAGAAAAGAAGAAGCTTACATTTCCGAAAGCAACTTTTAACTTTTGATATCGAATTCAGGAGTTCTGAATGCAGCATTTGAGGACCCCTGCGAGTGATATGAGAATATAACTGAAGTGGATTAGTTTTAAAAATTTATAATCGTCCGAAAGTGAAAAAAAAATGTTTGGTCAGTCGACGGTGAGAACTCGAGAGTGGATGATACACGTAGGCTACTTTTTATATTGTCATTTAAAACGTTTTTATCGTATTTCAAGATATTTCCCTTTATGGTCAATATATTTTTTTCGTAACCGTTCGATTCAGTTGTCGTAGCATTTTTGTCATCCCGCTTTTTTGACCACGTCAACGGCTTCTTTAGCCAGTGATAATCATCAAGCAAACTGCTTGTCTTCTATGTACGCGAACAAAAAGAAGCCATTAGGTATCCAATCAGAACTGTAAGGTGATCAGATGTACTATACTGAGTGCTCAAATAATTGCCTGTTTCAACTGGTACGGGAAAACTCACATCATTCTTCTTCTTATTTGATACTGCAGTCCAATATGAACCTTGGCCTTCCAAGGTCCAGTATGAACTCACATCATGCATGTGAAGAACTATCAGTTTCCAACAATTGGTTTCTCCGATATCTCTAAATACTTCTGTCAAACAAATGGTTGTATGCAGTTCAGAAATCACTATTTTAAGTTTCTTTAATGGTACTATTGCTACAGATAAGTTTTTCTGAGAAAAGAGTTTACCATATGTTTCAAACTAATAACTTAAATCTCTAGCTCATGCGCATAGATCTATGATGATGGAAATAATGCCTATAATCTCACGGTATATCACGTGTCAGTCTTGTATTATCCGCGATGAATTTTGTTACACCAGCGTTTCGCAGTTGAAAACGATGGAGCTTCATCAGCTTTAGTCTATCGATGCATTCCACGTATTAAAATTGTCTCAAATAATTCCTTCTCTCTAAGGCTTGACTTTCACGTCAACATAAACAACCCAAGTCGCACTCAAATGAAAAAACTTTCTATATAAGGTAGTAGCCGATAATCTCAAACTATCTAGTAAAGATACTGCTTCGGATCGAACAATTCTTGCTGTTGCTAAAACAAATCTTGATAAAATAATATCAAATGAGTTACTCATTACTTTTATAAATCCCGCCAAGTTGTATGTTAAGCGCTGTGTCAGAGGGAACTTTTTACCAGCTCCTCTTGTTTTACGAAATATCCACTTCTTTTAATAAAGATAGGATAAGATAGGAAACTTCGCTTTTTAATTGAAAATGCCACATTGATTAATAAAAATCAACTCCAAGGAATTTGTTCTCAGTGAAAGGAGTCACATGAGTTATAGTTTTTCCGCTTAATATTAATTGACACTTTTTTTATTTTTTATTTTAATTTGATTTATTTATTTATCCCCTCACTTTAGACATATAAATTTGCAAGTTATTTTACAATTTATAAAAATTAATATTGAGTAACATATTTCACCATAGCGAAGTCTGGGTTTCGCTGTCTAAATGCGAACATGATTTTCCGTCTGTGTATTAAATTCTTTTATTTTGGAAATGTACACGAATTGCCTTCACAGTTTTTAATCCTGAACTCCCATCCTACAGCATGGAGTATAAATCTATGTTACCTGACGGCCTGTTTGTACAAGCTCAAATCCCTCACATGCTTCCTCACATTTCACATGCGATTTCATTACACATAGCATGTCTATTATAATTTTCATTTGCGGTCGACAATAAAGTCCATCTGGTGTCTGATAACTGTCTATCCGTATGTCTATTAATATTTTATCAGACTGTCGCATATTATGCTATATCTGTTCATTTCCTGCATTAAACTATATGCCAAACGTTTGTCTGGTACTTGCAACGGAACTACCAGAAGCATGCAGGAATAGCTACGAGTACACATTGTTGTGTTTTAAGTTCGGCATTTGTGTCTCAATGATTTTAATTGGTTTGTGACTTTGTGTTTATTTAAGACTTTTGTTTTGGCTACTGTCTGTCTGGTCTATCTCCCTCAATGTTTGTCTGTCCACGAAACTGCTCTAGGTATCTGTGAAAGTCTGTTGCTGTTACACACCTCAGAAGGGTACACTTTTGCTTCTGTGCACATTTTGAGCTTTGACTTTTGTCAAATATAATAATTTCAATAAAGCCACTCAAATATGGTAAACGTATCGACATTTATGCAAACAAGAATATCCTGCACATACCAAGACTCCAATTTCATCCTTGCTTGCCTGTTCGTTTTTAGGTTGTTAGAGGTTTTTCGGAAATTTCATAGAAATGCTTTTACCGCATAAGCTTGTTAATTATGTTCAGGGCTAAACGAATACGAAGAAATGCACTTAACAGTTTCCTAATTGAACGATTTGATGGCAAAGGCGTTGCCTGATCAAATTATTTTACGTCTAACTATATTCTAACTTACTGTAGACTTATACATACTAATAAGTGAAGAATTGAAATAGATATGTAAAGCTAAAAGTTTTATTTTGATGAATAATATAATATTTACTTCATGGAGCTGTTAATAATAATGTGTGTCGCCCGTATATAGATCATCCAGCAGAACACTAATGGAATATAATCTTTAATCAAGGTGTCATTTATATACCATCAACTGTTCTAATTTTGACTTCAAATGATCAGTTGTTCTTATTCTTCAATTTAAGCTGTACCCCGATCACAGCCCAGACACCTGACTACTTAAATGTTGTCTATTTTCCATCTGTAATGGAACAAAAACATTATAAATTTCCGAAAACTTTGATCGGCTTTGAGAACTCTGATACTGTAATGTCACACAGATTAGTGCATTATCAGGGCTTCGTATTTCATCTAGAGTATATATATCGTACTAAGGACAATGTGAGATCTGTAAGATTTAAATCAATTATTTGTACTTTAAACAATTCAAGCCTAACAAATTTTTTGGTCTGAAAGTGATACGTTGTCAACTAAGTCAGAATCGCATTGATTCCTAAGGCTTTAAAGCAAAAACTAAATCTGCCCAGCGTTGTAAATGTGATACGTCACAAATAGAGAAGTTCTGACAAGAAGGAACTTGTCAAACTGGGAACATCAAAATGAGCGCTAACTAGTATTAACCTGTATTAGTATTTATCCGGAAAAGTGCCTATATGAGTATCTCACAACAAATGAAAACGTAAAACCATGGTTCAGTACTACAATTTATAGAGGAAGTTGAAAAAGAGTAAAAATAATTTTTAATTTTTTCATTAAAAATTCTCAATGTTTCATTTAAATGTTGACTCCCAATCCCCCTCGATACAATAACGAGATTTGGGGAATTTTTCCACTGCGCTTTATCTTAATGCAGCTTAGTTACCAAGATATCATGCTATTTAATTTCAAACCTTTTGTCATCTAGCGGTAATCATAGGACGCCATGGCATCTGAATCGTGTCATAAATTTATGATGTGGTGTAGGCACGTAAAACTCTTTTCCAATATATGCAAATGTGATTCAAAAAAATAGAATGAATTTTATTTACGACTTTCTTAAAAAAATTAGTGATCTTACTTTTAACAAAAATCACATCTAAACTATTTGAAAGCATCAATAGGTTTTCACAGTTTTGACTGGAAGTCTATCAATGAAATTATAACCAAGTCTTGAAAGTTCCTTGTAATAATAAATAGTTCACATGTTGTCTCGCGAAGTTTTGATTTTAATCAAACCATGATAAGGCATGAATATATTCATATTTTCCAGAGATTTAACAGAACTTTCGTGGTTTTATAAAGCAGGTAAGATTTAGGTTGATTTTTTAACTGATGGTCTTTCCCAGGTTTTTTAGTTCTGTCGCTTTTATTTTATAAAATAACTTCAACTACAGTCTTGTAATATTTTTTTTCTTTTTGAAACTTGGTTAAGACTTATTCATTTATTTCATAGGAACCAAAAATCAAGAAATAATGTAAAATCTTATATATTTTACCTGAATACTTCATCAGCAGTCATAGCGTCTCTATAATTAAGCATGGCTGGAACACTAATCACGGTTTTCAAATAAATTAACGGAATGTTTTTTTTTTATTTATTTATTCGACCAATTGACTCCTTTATTTATTAAATTAAATTTAATTCAATTATTAAATTTAACTATTGAACGTATCAAATTCTGTTTTAAAATAAAGCCCAATTTTTTTTCTTACAGTGCAAATCTAGTCGCAGTAGCTACATTGCGTCCTGGTGCACCGGATCACATGCGCAGGGAGTTTCGAAACAAAGCAAAACAATTGGCTCGCCTCAGTGATGCAAATGTGTCGCGCCTCTTGGGCGCCTGTCTACGTGACGAACCCATTTGCATGGTTCTCGATTATTCCGACTGTCTTGGCGATTTAAATCAGTTCCTGCAAGAACATGTCACCGAAACGAGTGGGCTGCAGGCGATGATGCCGAACAAAAGTTTAAGGTTAGTACAACTTACTTCTTACTTAGGCCAGCACAAAGCGAGTCACAAGCAGCAACCCACACCGAAAAATCGTATCGAACTATTCGTTCGCTGTGGACATTTTTCAAAGATCCTGTTTGCTATTTTGACTGTTTTGACTCTGGTCATTTGCGCTTGTATTTTTCATCTGACGCTTATCTTTGGCATGAAATTTTCGTATTTTTCTGATATCACTTGCAATTCATACGATTTTTGTTTTTCTGTTAACTTATTTTGTGCTTTATCTTATTTCCTGTACCACCGATGTCGTCGCTGCTTACACTTCCTGTCTCGTTACAATTATATGCGTCCAACAAATAAACCGGATGTGTAAAAACTTCGCTAACTTTTTTGGGGGACGGTCTAAAACTTTCCAAACTCCCGCATCGATACGACAGTTACGGATGCTTGGTGTACATCGCCACACAAATCGCATCTGGTATGAAGCATTTGGAGCAGATGAATTTTGTTCATCGGGATCTCGCCACAAGGTAAGTACAACTGCAGCATTCTTGTGTGCTTATATCAAATAAACTAAATTATTGGTGGCTAATGGGAAGAAGATTGCTACCAAACCCAACATAAGATTACGATTGTATTTGGGTAAGTGCTTCGGTTGCGCTGGGGTTGTGTAAAAAGACGGTTTTGTTGCTTAACAGTAAAAATGGTATTTTGTCGTAGACCGTTAAATATTCCAAATCACACTTAAAAAGTTTTCAAATATTCTAGTTTACACGCATAAATATTTTGCGAAAGAAGGAAGCTGAATACTTTTCAATGCAGACGGTAAGGCAGTACCGCAAACGATTTTAGTCTCAAGGTTTATTCCAAGTGTGCTTTTATGCTAAAATATGTTTAACGGTGTAATAAAATTTTGAAATAAGAAAAATGATTTTAAAATTCAAAAATAATATTTTTTTTGTGAACAAAGCGTTAATATGATGTATAGCATTATTGTTTACAATATGGAAAATCTCCGACTAGAAATATGAAACTAAGATCTTGATAGGATAGATAAATTCTGGTTTCACCTCTTTTAGTTCAAGAATATTATAACATTCTATGGACTGTCTTTTAAAAAAAAAAATCTATTAATGGTGCATTTTATCATTATTACACTTTATACCAGATTACCTGCCGTTGGTTGAGATATCGGCGTCAATATTTGTAGTGAAAACTAAAAGTTGGAGAAATTCACGATCTGTAACAGTGTATAGTTTGTATCTCCAGTGTTAGTCCTCTATTGTGTCATCCTTCCTTGTTTATTATTTGTAAATTGTGGAAATCGGGCATAAGTTTGGTATTTATTCAATTGAGTACAAATTTCAAACTCTAATTTTTAAAACGGATTACAATATATGTGAATAGCGGGATACAAAGTGAATTTTTAATGTACATGTATTAGCAACTTACTGTTGTAACTCAGCGGTGATTGGGTAGATGCGATGTAGCCACAACAAAATATGATATTTTCGCGCAACATCCAAGTGTAGTCTTAAGTTCAAAACCATAAATTATCTTTTAACACAAATTTATGAATATGCTTTATTAGGAATAGGAATGAACGGCTTTCTAGCTCCCAACGGAGCAGAGCACTGAAACCATGATTGATCTTTCGTGCTGCAATAGACCCTAACCGAACAGAAGACGAGGACTTCCTAATGTTAGAAAAGGAAAGTAGTTCTCGAACCAGTGGGCTTCTCCTGACCCAGATCAAGGCTAGGCAGTCACATAGAATGTGACTGGAAGTCTTGTCTGTTTCCAAGCAGAGTCGACAATCTATCTTTTCGGACAGACCCATTTTGTTATGGTGATAACGCAGTACATGGTGACCCATTAAATATCCTACCAGCAAGCTTAACTCTGTTCTACTGAAGAAGGATACCTTATCATAACTGTAGGGGTGAACCAGCTCTTTAGCCTGACGGTTACCTCGACTGTCGCGCCAGTATCGACTTCTCTTGGCTGAAAACCATTTATCAATTAAAGACCTAGTTGTAGACCAACTTAATCTACAATAAGGTTCCGGTCCACAGATTTGAGTGGCAGATCCTGTACTCGTAAGACTGTCGGCAGACTCATTACCATTGATTCCCGTTTGACCAGGAATCCAGCAAAGTGTCACTTTGTTATGTATACTTTATTAAGTAAATCTATTTTTTGAAATATGAAGCATAATTTTTTTAAGTACTTCAGCAATTTGTGGGATAAAACAACACATGAGAAGTATTAAAAATGTGTCCAATCTTAGCAATGCACAAATAATTAACAAGGAAAGAACACAGAATAAGGAAATAGCACTGGAAACCCTATAAATCCAAAAAAAAATATTATAAACAAAAAAGTTTGTGACGACAAAAGTACAAACTCCATACTAAAACGGCACTAAACTCTGGTGAATGCATCATTTTAGGAGTAATGACTGACGTTATTTTTATTATTTTGTTGTTTTTACTGTTTTTTTTTCGTTTTGGTTTTTTTTAAGCAACACTTGTAGAATGGTAATGTAATCAGCCTTAATAAAGAAGTCAACGAACTTTAAAATGTCGACCATAAAACATAAAAAAATATGTAGAATATTACAAAAAGAATGTAGAATATCCATGCTATATACAGAAAAAGGTACAAACCACTGATTCTTTTTTATTACTTAATCCCTTTCAGACCTCATTTTTCCAGCTAACATTTCCTTCTATTATTGGTTACACTTGCTTACCTTAGCTTATTTATATACAGTAGGAGTAACCTAATTCTAAAAATGATGCAATTCTCCCAAAGAACACAATTTCTCTAAACTAGTAACCATTATTCCATTACAAAAGTAAGATGAAAGTATTTCAAAAAAGAAATTCCCCAACAGCAAAACAATTTAAGAGTTTATAAACATTGGCACTAAGTATGCAGAACCTCAAGAACGTTCCAACAATGTCCCAACAACAGACGATGCAATTCTTCGCAGGAGTGAGTGTTGTCCTGCAGCGTAACTCCATAGCCATGAAATGTCTTAAGCATGGCGACGCAAAAATAAATTTTATTTCGTAACAAAATTGCGGGACGAAACCAACAGTAAATACGTCGACAGTGACAACAACAACAAAGACAACTGTTTTAAAATATACTTCTCGGATGCTGGAAGACAACGCAACTATATTGAGCCGTAATATGTCAACTGTAACGGCGTGCGAAACAGCGGCGAGTATGCAAACTGTGAACGCCATACTGTGGCGCAAGTGTCCGGAAGAATGCGAAGAGAGAAACGAAGCAGAAATACATTTTCATCTCAGTTAGTAGCTAAATGATTTCTTGTATTTTGCAGTCCAAAATCGTTCTAACTTTTGCTGCTCTTGCATAGACTAAGTGCCAAAAGCAATGTAAGCATGTCTAGTAAAGAAACAAATCGTTTCCCACAAACTCGCAGCAGAAATTCACGTTAAAATGCATTAAAGCAGACACAACAAAAACAGCAACAGGAAACAATAGAGCAGAATTAAAAGTATGTAGGAATGGCAACAATCGACCAAAAGTAAATAGAAAAACTTAGCAAAATAGCGCTACAACGCCGAAAAGCAGGCAAACGAATTTGCACAAACAAAGTTGACAATGAAAAAAACTTCCGCAGACGCGGAATTGGTTTATTCAAAGCAATTGAAAGAAAAAAGACTTTGCTAAAATCCGTTGAAGTTGCGAAAGTACCGCCATGTTTGCGTTAATAGCCATTTTAACTACAACTTCTATTTAGGTTTAAATCTACCAAATATTATTTGTACTAGTGCTGTTCATATTCTTCGGATATTTCACACACCGAAAATATCCGATTTCGAGTAATTGGATAGTAACGAAGTCTCCGAAGTTGAAAGGAAATCACATTTTTCTGTTAATCCGAAGTCTTCGAAGTCTTTGCGATTATTTGGATTTGCGATTATTATTCGCAGTGAAATTATTCGAAGAGTTCGTAAGTGATCTGGCTTTGTCTTTAGATTTCTTATGGCAGAGATTTTTTGTAGGTTAAGCTTAATCTTCCAACTGGTGTAGTAATCAAAAAGGCTCTTTAGTTGAGCATTTAGCTCATTGGAGATGCGGTAGGGATTGGATAACCGCATGAAGACGAGACATTCGTCGACGGAGCAGATTTGCTTGGCGGTGGCCTGCGGAAGTACTGAACTAATTATTCTGTGGCACATGCGTTTATTTGCACCTTTCAAATGAAATTTTCAGTTAATACATGAAAGATAACATTTATGTGTCTGAAAGTTTGTTTGTATCGATTTCTCTAATATTAGTATACAAAAACAAAAAACCGCACTCAATTCAAGTTGATTGCTCTAAATCGCAAAACATATTTTAAAGCTCGTACTCTTTTACTTGATTATCATTAGAGATACTCACGCAACAGAAACAAGCTCGATAATCGAGGAACATGGTATTAGTGTAGTGTCAAAAACTAAAAACGTTCTCAAAATGTATTCAGTTTTCACAGCTTTGCACTGTTACTTTGTTACTCGGCCACCGACATTGTGAATACCCCTATCAGTTGCAATAAAATTTTATATTAACGGATATTCAGGAGTACCAGTTCGGCCAGAAGAAAAAGTGTTATCGATGTGTTCAGTTTTCACAGCTTTGCACTGTTACTTTGTTACTCGGTCACCGACAATGTGAATACCCCTATCAGTTGCAATAAAATTTTATATTAACGGGTATTCAGGAGTACCAGTTCGGCCAGAAGGAAAAGTGTTATCGATTACTTTAAACAGTATCGATTTATGAAAAGCAATAGTTTCAACACCTTTTGTTAATTTTTTTAACTAACTATTATCCCTAAACTATTATCCTTAAACTGTAAATTCTAATTAAAATTAATGAATGAATTTTATTTAATACATTTATTATATTTATTTCATTATTGAATATTAGTCTATAATTCAATTTTTAACAGTTTTGCCGTTGTTGAGTCGCAATGTTACCCATTACTTTTAATAGTGGAAACCCCTATCATATACCATATATAATCTTTTTTGAAAACAATTTTTTCTTGCTATATTAAACACTTTATTACTCGAAGCTTTTATTGGGCAAACGACTCTCTGAAGTCCTTTATCTCGGAAATATCGGAATTTATTGCAAAGATGGCTGGTTCACCATAAAATCAACTGCTTTACTGATCTGGTATTTTTTCCGTAAAATTTACATACGTTCTATAACGAAATCAGATGGTTTCAAAATATGTCTATGGGCATTTCTAGTGCATGTTCTTTCACAATATCGTCTTCTATTACTGCTTGATATTGGCTTGATTATACATATATTTTTATAGTTTTTCTTGTTGTTTTCTCTTCTTCTTATTATTCTTGTCTTTATTTTTTTATTAAATACTTAAATATAAATAAATTTGAAAGTATTTTATTTAACAACTGTTGCAACAGTTTGTATTATTCCATTTGATTTTCTCAAATTGATAAGTTTGTCTATTCTAGATTTTTTCTCTTCTGTCCAAC